TTTCTTCTCTCCTTTCGGTTAGCGAGGTCCAGTGGTTCCTAAGCTAAAGGAGGTTATAAAGGAAGTTTGAAACCTCCTTTCCTATCATTCTAGAGAATTCGAACGGCACTTATCATGGCTGCCACTGAGGGACTTCCGGGTCATTTCACTCGGTTAGGAAGGTTCCTAAGCTAAATGGACTATTCGAACGCAACCCAAGTCTGAATAAACTTTGAGCTCCTGGATCAATGCCTGCATGCTTTCATGAAATGTATTCTAAAATACCACAGCCCTGTTTCAACTGAGGAGGGTGGGAATTGCGCACGCCGACCTCAAACATGAGATTGTTATGGTTGTGGACTACCCACAGAATATTACCACATGGTACATAGCAGTAAAAAACCTTGCTGTACATTCCGTTAAAAAAAATATATTATTAAGTGAATCATGTACATTTTTTTTTTTTAAAGAATAACAAGATTATTAACATAATTTCTTAGGGTTTATTTATAAGAAGTGCTGGGTTGTTACCAAAGATTGTATACAAATATAATAGAGATTTATTTATACAGTCTAAACTAATAAAACTATACCCAAATAGTCAAGATAAGGCATATGATCTGAGTTTTTAACTTTTTTGGATATTTAACATTGTACATAAACACTTTAGATCTGAAAGCAATATCATATTTCCACCCCTCTGCAGAATTCACATCTCTAAATGTTCAGCCTGTTATGTCTCTGCTGATTATTTATAGTAGGATGAACCCAACTCAGCGGAATGTAAAGTGTGTGTATGTTTTACCTGCAGTAAATTCTTTCTAGGTGAAGCCAGCAGATTGATAGCTGATGCGAGTGTGTGTGTTTGCTCCAAGGCGATTTCCCCCAGTCCAGCTGTATGAGCCCATTCCAGGAGAAAGTCCAGATTGGCTCGCATGCGAACGCCCCTGGACCAGTGGTAGAAACCTGGCTCAGAGCCTGTGTACACATCAGGAGGAAATCAACTTTAAATCATTCTTTGTTCCTTGACTTGGTTTCTCAGCTTTTAGGTCTACAGCAACACATTTGAGTCTTTCATCTCTGCTGTTGACCCTGGAAGTCATGTTGGTAAATTGTTTTGTATTACCCATTATTCTAGACAATCTGTATTCATAACAAATCTGAAATCTTCCTTGTTGACAGGTTACACATCCTTTGTTTAACTGCCACAGCAAAAACATTAAGAATTAAGCATTAGTTTGACTTAATTCTTTATTCTTGTTGTAAATAAATCTAATGAAAGGAACAAAATCAACATTGAATTCTTACTTGAAATACTCACAATAATTGTGTGTGTGTGTGCGTGTGCGTGTGTGTGTCGTAACCATGAACAATGACAAAATATTGTATTTGTTATGACTTCGTTACAAACACTCTTTCTAGCATACTAAATAAAACATATTGTATTCAACAGCTGAAAATAGTACCCATCAAATTCACTACTGCCTCTTGTTTGAGTAAAAATGTCCCTTTAAATGTTTGTTACAAGCTTTTAAAGATTGATGTCTCAAGGCGTTTGGGATGTCAAAAGATGTTTAGACATTTATCTTTGTTACACCTCTCATGGGGGTGGATTGCAAGAAGAATACAGAATGGTGCAATTCTACAGATAATAACTTATTATTATTAAAAAAAACTAGTAGGCCTAGTAGTTGTAAACCTGCATACTCTTTGTGAACTGGTACCTCTCTCCATGAGTGAGTTGAAGAAGGATGCGTTGATGAAGTAGAAGAGGTAGCCAATCAGCTGTGAGGAGATCTCTGGGTGGAGCTGACAGTCACACAGCAGTCTCCAGGTGTCGCTCAGAACATCCACAAGGTGCTGGATCTCACCAGGGACCTGCAGGGCACCGCTACCCGAGACAGGAGCACTCTCGTCAGGCACCTGCAGGTCAGGACTCTCCCTGAATGGGTCGCAATCCAGAAGGCCCGGCAGGACGGGGTAGATGCCCTGATGAGACGGAATGGGTTGGTTAGCGAACTGTGCAGATCAGCATGAGAGTGACTCACTCATCCATGTAGAAGATTGTTGACATTTCTGTGGGTAAATTTGAGGTTGGAAAAGTTAACGTTGTGTGGTGGATGTTCTGATCACTGGGGTAAACTCAAATATTTCAGACCACCCATATTGCCTCTGCAATTCCGTCTCTGTGTTTCTTACACTACAAAATACAGTAGTAGTAAGTGTTTATACTGGGGAGTTTATTAACTTAAAGAGGCCCTATTATACTTTTGGGGGTTTTCCCTTTCATGTGGTACGTTATGAACGTTTTCTGTGCATGTAAGGTCTGCAAGGGCCAAAATCCCAGAGTTCCCTCGGGAGGGAGTTTCATGATATGCTAAAGTAAAGGACATTCCTGACAAATCTCTAAGCGGTTGACCAATCACAACAGAGCCGGCCCGCTAACCAATCAGAGCAGACTGGGCTCTGGTTTCAGACAGAGGGTGAAAAGAGGTGCTGCAGCACAGGTAGTATGAGAACAATAAAGAGCTTTTTGAACATTAAAGCATGGAGACATGTCCCAGTAGAGAAACTAAATAAAAATATGAACCTGAACATTTGTATAATATATCCTCTTTTTTTTTTTAAATGATCCGCTGATTTACAACCGTCTGTTTCCCAACGTAAGTCAATGGGAATAAGTATTTTTTGGCCCCAAATGACATCATGGAATGGAAAGGAAGTGTAGTACCATAGTTTTTTCAATATGAATATTTGCTTCAACAGCCAGCTCTTCCTGAAGTCTTGCATTAGACAGATATAAAGAAAAGCCTTTCCTCCTTTTCAGCCAAAGGTCTTCACTCCTCGTGAGTGCTCACCCTGCACAACGATAGCTTTGTTCGGGCTAATTGTACACAGACATCCCCTTTCCCCTCCAATCTCACTCTTACACCCACAAAGCTTCCGAAGCCAGTGCCGGCCCAAGATCCACATTCCTAAAAAGCTGAATATGGCTCATGTGGGCTTGGCACGCCGCTGCAACAGGACTGCTGAGTGAAGAGTTCTGAAGGAATCCACCCTGAACAGATCATCTTACATGTACTGCAAGGCCCTGCAGCCAGACCAGGCTCAACACGAACAGTAGAACATAACAGCTCCCATCCAATTTGAGACAATGGAAAACATTAAGTAAAATAATCCTGAAGTGTTTCTGGTTGGAAAATATAGCTCAGCGGAGCCAGGGGAGATTAATTCATTCTGGGATTACCACATGCATCAATGGCACGCAGTATTTCACAGTCAAAACATTAAATGTGTATTCTGTTGTCTGTTTATTTGCGAATTCACTATGATACACAAGTAAACACAGTCTGCCCACAAGTTTTTAAATTGCGTCTGTATCCGTCATGGCATGTCTTTAGTTGGAATAGCTGCTCACCAGTGGCGCCTTTTGTTTTCCATCCCAGAGCAATTACCCTCACATCGGATGGGCGAGCATGAAATACTCCAAAATAAACCGAAATGTATCAAATGTAACCACAGAAAAGAAAAGAGTTATTGAACTTTGTGTCTTGCTGGATGGGAGGGTAAAAAGATAGAAACAGAAGAAGATGAAGTTCCTGGAACCTAAACCTAAATATCTCCTCCACAAACTGAACCCGGGGTCAGACACGAGCCCTGACATAAATCACTATGTCAACTCACTGCTAGTAAAGGGAGAGGATACATTCTAGGGCAAATGATTAGGCCTTATCTAGATTACCGCTCAGCTTGACATTGGTGACTCCACCACATTCCTCACAAATCTGGTCTGCAGTGCAGTGAGATGAGGATGGGAGCTTGCTGTGAAGTGACAGTCGTGATGGATGACACGACACGCCTGGTCTGAGAAGAAAAACGGAGACTATGTCCCAGCTAAATCCAAAAAATCTGGTTAACCTGTGAAAGTGCCTGCTTCATAACAACGTTGTCTAGAGATCTCCACAGAGAAAGGAAGAAATGAATTCTTTCTCCTTTGTTCAGGAGGCCAACATACTGTGCATCACAGATGCATGATGATGATGATGATGTGCACACACATCATGCTGTTACCTTCGCCTCTTCATGATGAGCAATACTGTGTTTATATAGTCAATGTGTGGCAGTCCATCAATTAACTGAACATCTATTCCCTATTTAAAAATACATGAACCCTAAAGAGAGAAAATATGCTACATGTCAGATTATAGCTACAAACTCATTTTCGCCTGCAGTCCTTTGGCATGGTACACACATTTCTTAGTGTCTTTCACACACACAATTATAAAACAGACCTACAGTGTAAGTAAAGATTCGTAAAATATAATTCTCCAAAACAAAATCCTGCAAAACAAAACTACTTACCGGTACATTCCCATCAACCTTTGTTTTTACTGCTAATTTGTAAATAATGTACATAATGTCAGATTTATTTACATTTAAAGCTTCTTTTGAGTTTTGAATGTCTGTCTGTTGTCGTATTTGATGGCATAACCCTTACAAAAAACGCCACAATGTAGATTCTATATCTTCTATATTCATGCATTTTTGGGGAAATTATGAACTCAGGATCACTGCTTGGTTCTGCACGCACATTTTTATGAAAATTTACTTCATGGATTGATATTACAAGACAAATGAGCGTGTACCCAACCAGTCTCATGGGATCAAACCTGTGAAATCTTAAAAACAGAGGAACTCAGACTGTAAGGTAAGTGAACGTACATTTTAAATCTTCATGAACCTATGGTATTATATGTCTGGATTATTTCTGTATTTCCTGACAAACCACACCTGGAAGTAATTTGGTTGCTCAGGCAGACTTGCTGAAAGAAATACAGTACATGCAGGTAGTTAGATAACCACATCCTCATGCACCGAGCAAAGAAATGTGCTGTCCAAAACCTGCAGGGCAGCAACTTTTCAGGAATTCCTAAAATGTCCTCTTTGGAGATACAATGCCATATCACTGACTTCCTTCCTGCATGGGATACAGAAGATGCATTGGACCTGTCTGTCTGAATCCCCAGAGAGGGTTGGGACCTTGGCATGGCTGCAGCTAACTGAAGACCCAGCGCTGTGTTAGTGCGACCTCTGATGTGGCTACTCGACATGTTTCCTTTGACGTCAGGCCTCGCAGGAAAGAATCTGAGTGGACATGCAGCTCAGCTATCAGCGATGATTCCTAATTCAGCTACTGACTGAAGACGAGTGAATACTGTAGGCCAATCCCCGCATTAGTATTATTTTGGATGGTATTTCTGCCCACACCCACACCGCACAACTGGAAAATTGTCTGACAGTTTCCCGGCACACTTCCATGCAATGGGTGTGGTGGTTCAGTGAAACTCTACACAAATGAATGTGACTACAATACATTTCGTTCTCTCTTTTTTCAAGTAACACTTGGTTAGAATATAACATGAAACAAAGTTTTCACAATCAAGTAGAGTGTTTAAAGCTTTGTTATTTACCTTTATAGACAGAGAATAAATGGTAACAAGAAGAGCAGGTAAGAGGAACACAAAATGTGTTTATGTTATTTGTTAGGGTGATGAGTTAACGCAAGAAGAGATCATTCAATGGAGTTTGGTGCAAAATGTATCAGACATCATTTACTATTTATCTACATTGTTGGAAGTAACCATGGTAGATATTTAAGCAATTAGGTTAATCTACAATGTTTCAATTATTGCAATAAAAAATAACAGTTTTTAATGATTATTTTCTTCCACTTGGTGGCAGTGTGACAACTTGGATGTGCAATATTGAAGTTGTCATTAACGTTAGTAATCCACGCTTTAACAACAAATCGGCAGACATGAGTAACATTAACATTTCTCTGAGTTTTGTCCTGGCTAACCAGAAAATCCATTATTACCAACTAGAAGGGAACTTGGATAGCACAGACTTTCTCCAAGGCCATGTCCTATTTGCAATGTAAAAGGATACAAAACCAAACTGAAAAAACCTCTTTGGCATTTCAATAATGTACTCTCCTTTTAGCTAAGAGAAATGTATGTTTATGTTGCTGTTAAATGTTTACCAGCCAGTCACTAACTTGTATCTTTTGTTTGGTGCTGGGCAGTCTGGAAAAGGGTGATGGCAATGGTTACCGTTTAATTAAATCTTACCATTGGTAAGATTGAATTAAAACCGTAATAATTGAAGATGCTTAGTAGAGCTGATGAACTGCTTCTATTTCTTACAGAAACAGCAACCCTTCTGACATTACACAAAATAATTATATCCATTGTTACAGGGAATATAACAGTATTGATGAGGTCAAGAGGTCATTTTTTAAATCTTGCCTTGAGCAGCTTTTACTTGCTGTTGGCAGGGAAACAAGGTTCAGGGGGAGTGGCTGTACCCGTAGGATAGAAAAGGGGGAAGTGACGTCTGACTCAGAGGTCGCGCGGCTGTGGAGAAGAACGTGTTGCCCACATTCTGTTACTGAGTTTAGGCTAGTTAGCTAGCAGGTTTATTGTTTTGGGCGCAGTCACTTATGCCTCCACTTGCTGTTCAAATAAATGTTGAAAGAAAAAGTAAATCTGTTCATATGGGTGTTGAGAGATGTATCCATAGATTTAGTCCCTAATTTTGCTCTCAAAGTGCACCAGATTGATGCATTTAACTTCAACATTTATTCAACATCCTGCCCACTCTGTTGCCAGATTTGAGAGAAATAAGCAACCAGGTCTATGAAAACAATCCCAAAAGAAGCAACACATACATGATGTTGTGTAATTTTAAACAAAAACTAAGGCCTCAGGATGACTTCAAGGCGTGAATCATTTTAGTTTTGTAACATCAAATAAAATAATAAAAAAAATCTTTTGAAAATCACGTGATCGGATCCGGACATCTCTATTGAGGATGCTTCCTACGCCCATGTTTTATTCCATGTGTCAAGTCAGGCAAATTGGGTTCCAAATGTTATTGCATCAACGATCTGTTAACATTAAAATCACTAAATATATGCTCTAACTATTTTGCTCTAGGCAACTCAAGGGCTCAGTTAATGTGATTACTATATGAATAATGGTCCAAAATAACATGAAATGCATAGGGTTTTTTCTTAAGTAACATACTTTCGTCGCCGGCCGGCCGATACATGCAGACAGACAGACAGACAGACAGACAGACAGACAGACAGACAGACAGACAGACAGACAGACATTCTCAGCCCGTGTCTGATTATTTTTCTTTTCTTGAAATGACACTTCATAATCATCAGTGAGAGGAACAGATGAACTATTTTGGTCAAGAAAAGTTCCTTGTTCACTAAGGTAAGGTAGATGTTGTTGAGTTTACCAAGACACCAGAGTACTATTTAAGTATGGTACGTTTGTTTTAATGTTGTGTAAACTATAGGTGTGTTTGGCCGTCCTCTCACCTTGGTGATGTAGTACACACACTGCTGGAAGGCGAGCATAATGACTTCCTCCAGGACAGCCACCGTCTCCTCGCTGGCTGAACTGACACAGGACAGACGCATCTCCAAACGGGCTGAAATCACAGTCAAATATGTGTGATACTAGAAAGGTTTCACTAAGCAACTGTATACATTTTCTCAGCTTTGGTTGTGATGCCAACTTTTTTTTTTTACAAAGAAAATGTTTATTATCACTAGTTAGCTGGCCTTTTAAGCATAAGGGTCACATAAGCAAAGACTTATGTGACCCATCACTGAACCATAAATTACTTTGGGCATAAAAAGTGACTGTGGTTTAGGGTTAAAATGATCGCCAACCAATCAGGGTTGTCAGTGGTTTCATTCCCAGCCAATGGGTGCTTCAATGGTGTTGAAGTCTATAGTATTAAAGTCTATCTAAGTCACTTTAGACAAAAGCATTTAAGCCATGTAATGTACATTAATGTACATCTGTGTGGTCATGATTTTTCTTTTAAGGTCGGAGAAAATGAACTTAACAATATTTAACTAATTCAAAGCTCAACAGGTGACTAACCCAGGTCCTCCACCTCTTTGTCCTCGTCCTGTTCGTGCTCTTTTTGGGTTCTCCACTGCAGAATCACAGGCAGCTGGAACTGCATGAACTGCAGCAGCTCCAGGCTGTTGGACATCCACACCACCAGGGGGCGCAGGCCTGACATAACCTCCTGCTGGCTGAGGTCCTCTGGGTTTGAGCTTTCACCATCAACACTAGCCATACAGAAGAAAAGATCTGCAGATTAGTATCTACACTGTAATGTAAGGTAAGTGATGCTGAAGATAACTCAGTAAAGATTGCTTACACTTCAGGTTTCACTGCAGCTAGGCCCTTAGTGTGCTCCTGTTAGACAACAAAATATGAATTTAGAACATTTCAATGTTATACCAATGGACTATGCAGTTGGCAGGAATATATAATGATAATTATAAATCTGGTAAATCACAAATAAATCATATAGAGTTGAAGCAGCAAAATTATTGTGCATAAAAAGAAGTCTTCATAGTGAGTTTTAAGAAGAATTGACATCCTAAAATGGTTGGGTGTTCTGAAAACTGTCAACTATTGGCATATAAAATAGCAGATAGCAAGCTACATTGCTAACAGGAGCATGAGCTCATTTAAATGCAACTGTGACCATTTAATTGCATTTTTTTCTTTATTTGTGTTTATATTGTGCTTTATTGTTTAATATTTATTTCCAAAATAATCTAGTATCAGTAAATTATTTTAAAACGACAGTAGGAGACATTCTATAGCAATTTTACCGCAATGCAGTAGGACGGTAACCTAGCATTATTTTATTAAAGTGAAATTCCACAAGTCAAAGAATATGTTTTTAGTCTTGTTTTGTCATTCAAAAACCCCAAAACATTCCCCTGAATATGATGATAGGATATCTCCACATTTGAAAGGCTGAAACTGCATGGTTTTTGCATGGAAGATTACATAATCGATTATCAGTTGACGATTATTTTTCAGCCCATCAACTAATCAATTAGTCCAACAACCATTGCAGCTGTTCCACTCACCCACATGGCCGTCTGAACTCCGTTTGCTATGAGCAACAGCAGCCTGCGCAGATCTGAGGTTTGAAGACATGAGGCTGAGTGCTGAACACACATACACAGCAGAAATGCAGCAGTCTGGGGGGGTCTGTCGTTGCTGCTGGTCCTTCCCATGGCAAATATCTCCCTGACGATGTGATCCTCATCTCCACTCTCATACTGCAGAGTCAGGCTGTGGCATTCAGGGGATTTAAAAAAGGGCAGGCCTCTGTTTAGTGACTGTTTGCAGCTGGAGCTGTTGAGGTCAGTGCAGGTTGTGATGCAGGTGTTGCAGAGGATCATTCCTTCTGTGTGGCTGGTTGTAGTGGCAGGATTCAGCATCCAGGGGAGGGCAGCCATACTGGACTCAGGAGCAGCATTGTAAACATCCTTCATTTCCCAAAACAAACAAACAAGAATCATGAAGGAGCATTTATACATATATGGAATTCTTTTTTTTTTGCCTGTGTGTCTTTATTTCTTTCCTTTCTTCATCTAACCTTTACCTTGTGTGTTGAAGCAAATGGATCCTTGAATAGAAACAGGTAGTGCTGTCCCATCCCAATGACATCACCACTGTTGAGCTGCACTTCTTCGCTCAACGCTTCGCCATTTCTCATCACCACGGCGTCCTGACAGGGGGACAACATGGTGGGGCCGCCAGCGCCATGGCGATTGAAATAACAGTGCCTCAGGAGAGTGTCATTGGCAAAGAGAAGGATGCCAGGCTTCGACTTGTCTTCAGGATCAATCTGCCGACCGAATAGAACTTTTGGCCCAGCAAGAAGGTAGATGACAAAGTCCTGAGTAGAGAGATACATTACAAAGTTACCACACAACATGCAACACATTTGATTTGGACTCACATTCATTGTTTCCAGTACTGCTACATATTGTCATTGAGATTTTATTTTGACATTGTGCTGTTCTTTTCTTCTCTGTTGGTTTCACTGCTGCCGTTGCTTATAAAAACTAGCCAACTGTTTTCTGTTTTATGTCTATTCCAAATTAACAGTGTTAAAAACGATCCAAGTAACCTACATGTACTCAAATACTGCACTTAATCCTGCATTTGTTGTCACTTATAGGTCGAGCTAATCAATTAGTCTGTCTGAAACGAATGTACAATGTGTCCGAGCGCTAGCCATAGAAGCCTAAGTGTTACATAGTGATGTCGTTATGTCACGGAAGTAAACAAAGGAGTTGAATGGAGGCAGAATAATAATTCATAGCAGTTCTAATAATCTATTCAACCTTAAAGTAACATTTGTGCAACATGGCATGGCGTGAATCCATGCGTGAATCTCTTTGGGGTTTGCTGCTGGACTTTGAACAGCTACGAAACAACAGTGAGTGAAGCAGTCTAATCATGTGGAGGCATTAGAATTATATTCTTTATCTGAGCCTGATTAGACAAAAATGTTTGATTAATCACAGTAAGTGGCAGGCACAATGTTCGGGGGTTATTATGCCTGACACCCAATCTTTTCCAACAGGAAAGATTAAAAACACTTAATGCATTCTTCAGAGATAGATTTGGTGAACCTTGCACTAGTGTATTCTTATAAGAGGTCTTTTGGGAAAACAAGTGTGACGCAGAGTCAAAATCACAACAGTATGTGAATATTTGCTCTGTGTGTGGCTGTTGCTCACCATTAACACCATGTGTAATCAGTCAGGAAGCAGCCAGGGTAGTCTTTTTGTGTTTCCTGATCAGTGTTATGACACAACATTTTTCTACCTACTGTTGACTGACCTCTCGCATAATGATTCTCTGTCTCTCTTTACTCTGAGATAACATGCTGTTAGGGCTGCAGGGAGTGTATATCAGGTATAACGCAGTATTTCATCAATCACATTTTTATAAAAACGAACATTTTGTGTAGAAGCCAATAAAAGCCTGCATTCATTTCAGTAAATTATATAAGAGGTTGTAGAGAGGTAAAAAAGATAATTTGACAGTTGACCAGTTATTGTAGCAAAGAGTCAAACCTATACAATATAGAGTAGTTTCTTTTTTAAACAATGGGTTCTTCGATTTACAGGAAGACAAAAGCAGCCTCTCATTTCTAGCAGATAACCATTGATTTTAGTGGCTAAAATGATGACTGGCATTAGCATATAGCTAGCTAGCACATAGTTGGTGCAGTACCTTGATCTACAAGCTAAATGGCAACTAGTCATCCAGACAGAGGTATCTAGCAAAACTAAAACACATTAAGCCTTCCATTGGACTGTATACTGCCACATGTGATGATTTTATTCTTAATTGAATTTAATTGAATTGATTTATTTAAAACAAGGGACAGTGTACATTAATCAACATATTAAAAACATGTAAAAGTACTCGAATTAGCCAAAAGACTAGTTTTCATCGATAGTCCCTTTGCCAGATGGTGATAGACATCCTAAAAGCAATAATAAAAAATACCACAACATTGTTATACCATTGTACATATTTACAATAAATGACATCACTGAATACAGATAAAAGCAAGTCATGATATAAAAGCAAGTCATGATAATCACTTAATGATTTTGTGTAGCAGTTATTTTTGTTATAATTTTGACAGTGAACCATTTTTATATGGCACACTTAAACTGTTTCCAGCTGGTGGGCTTCAGGGTTTCATTTATTTTGAAAAGTGCAGATCATTCCTTAAAACAGAAGCCTCAGATTGCTTATAATATGGGGAAATAGGAAGGGTAGATGTCAAGCTTGTTATTCAAATACGTGATTGGGCAACAGTGAATGACTGAATTTATTTGAAAAACTACGCTTATTTACACATGAACACTGTGTCATTTATTTGTACATATATTTTTAAGAAGTACAACACAAGACAAGCACAAGTTTCATGTGTGAGCCATATTCTATTATACTTTAAGAATTGGCTGAGGGCCATTTGAAAATGGATAACGGGCCGCAGTTGGCCCCCGTTCCATAGTTTGTACACCCCTGTTGTAGATACACTCACGGCAAGGTCCTGAGTAATAATCCGATGATCATATTTATTTGGCTGTTACAGTGTTTACCAGCTATATTCATATTTAAGTTTGACCAAGTGAAATGGTAAAAGATGACCGACCTCGCTAGCTAGCTGGGGACGGTGTGTTCTCCGAAAATTGATGAATTTTTTTAAATTACGATTCCCAAAGACTTTGGAGTCGCCGGGCTACTGGTGCACAGTTTCCCTCAGTTTTACTGAACATATAAACACTTGACACTTCTGGAAGATGTAATAATATGTAGGTATATGTTACAGCCGCCATTTTTGTTTGTTTCTAAGAAATTATATATTTTGTCTGTAATTTTTTGCATGGCTAAATACGAGAATACTCATGAGCCAGGCACCAAAAAAGTGGCAAGAAACAAGTTCAAAAAACGTTGGTGTAACAGAGCACCATTGCCACCCTCGTTTAGCGGTACATGTAACTGAATTCAAAGCTTGGAGGATGTTTTTTGTTGTTGCTGAAATGCACCTTGGGAGTTAACCTGGGCCTTGAAATGTTGAAATGTTTCCTAACAAGTTCTTACCTTTGATAATGTAAGAACCAGAACATTTCTAATATTGCACATCTGGACTGATTACCATGTTTTTCAATACCATCCAAGCCACAGAACAGCTCAAACTGTGAGTAACATTGCCCACAGCTATGGGACTTATAATTCAAGTAAAAAGTGAACCCAAAATAACTCGGCCAACTTCCCCCCTTGACTGCAGAGTGTGTGAATGAGATACCTGTGTGAGGCTGCAGCCCTGCAGCAGCAGAAGGTAAGGACAGTTGTGAGGAGGGTGAATGGAGTACTGTGTGGTATTATCGTCGCTGCTCTCCGTCTCCTCCTTCTCCGACTCCTCTCCTTCCCGCTCCCTTCTCAGCCTGGCCGGACAGAGGGTCTCTGTTTTGGGCTGCGACCTACCTTCCCCTTGCGAGGGAACTGCCAGGCTGCGACTGTGATTCTGTTCTGGGCTTGTTTTTGATCGCTCGTAGCATTGCACTGAGGTTTGATTCAGACTGTCTCTGCGTTCCTTGTGGCATTGATTGGTTTCCTGTTTGGTCTCAGAGTCTAAGAGGTCCATCTCACTTTGGCTCCTCCACAGTTTGTGGCCTCGCCCCATGGTCCTCTCTATGAACGTGGAGGTCACTCTGGAGCGGCTCTTCTGGAGCTTTCTCGCCTGGGCATTGATACCTAACAGAGAGATGAACAAACAAATAATAACCTGTTAAATTAAGCTGCAATATAAATACATTAGTAATGGAATGTAGTGATAGGGCAACACCCATTTTTTCCCCAAGATACTGTGAGGTGTTAGTGTGTGTTCTGTCATTTGGACATGGTGTGTTTATGCCAGAGTCAACATGGAGAAGCCCCACACAGGAAACAAACCTCAGTGGAAAGAAAGACAGAGCTCATGGAAATAAAAAAATACACCCACTCAGCAGGCATCGACAAGCTGACACTGATAGAAGGCTGTCACAGGCTGCGCCATTCATAAAAGAAAACACACAACAGGACGCACACACACACCACGACCGCAGCTGTGTCAACCACAGCTGGGGAAATGATAGTGAGGGGTCCACCCTGCACATTTACTGTGCCCTGAAGTGTTTGTGCCCTGCATCTACGGAAAGTTCTGGGTATTATTCTGCTGCGTCAGTTTTTGATAATATCAACAGATAAGAACATTTGCTATGAAACGCTTTTATGGCATTATGTTAAAGTGGACATATTCTGCTCATTTTCAGGTTCATATTAGTATTTTGTGCCGCTACTGTGACATGTTTTTATGCTTTAATGTTCAAAAACCTCTTTATTTTCCTCATACTGGCTGTGCTGCAGCACCTCTTTTCACCCTCTGTCTGAAACCAGAGCCCAGTCTGCTCTGATTGGTTAGCTTTTTCCGGCTTTATTGCTTACAGATGTCCCCCCTTAAATATTTTAGAGTGTTTGCTAATAGAAGAGCAAGTGTTACATACTGATATCATTATGTTATGGTAACAAACAAAGGAGTTCAATGGAGACGTTTCAGGCAGGGGAGGTGTGTGTGGGAGAGAAACTCCCTCTGGAAGAACACAGGGATTTTGGCCTTCACAGTCCATTTACATGCACTAAAACCTATATATCACACTACAGGAAAAAGAAATCCCCAAAAAGCAGAATAGGGCCTCTTTAAGTGTTGTAAAAAAAGGGTGTGTCACTGGAAGAAGTTTAATTTGAATCACATAGTGTCTGCAAATTACATTTTAAACTTCACTGGCCTTTTTAACAACAGTAAGAATGAAATTTGAAAAAGAAATTGAAATGAAAGAAAAACTGTAGACTTATTAAAATACAGTTTGGTCTGTGTGGCTTGGCTGGTGTTCACTGGAAAAACAGCGTGCCAACAAACCATATTTCTACTGTGAGAACTCACAAAACTGGATTTAATATTGGCAAAACATGTAATGGTGCAAACTCTTATTCCAAGACAAGCTCACTCACGTCCAAAATAAGGATGTGGTGTGAAATGAGGCTGAAGTCGGACAACCTACCAGCAGTGATGGTGTCTTTTTCTTTGGATGTCTTTTCCTCCACTAAGCTTCTCCTCTGGATTTCGAAGCGTCTCGCCAGGCCTTCTCTGGGTTTCCATAGTGACTGCAGGAGGAGGGGCTTCTCATTGTCGCTCACGACCCGAAACCCTTCTGTTCTCCACCCATGATCTCGGGTAGAGCCGATGGTGTCACATAGGACGTAGGAGTCGGCCTCCTCCTTGCTCAGGCCATACCTAGATGACATTGTCACAATTATTTATTATGATAAAAGAAACTGGACTAAATGTGCTCTCCAAATATTAGCCTTTAGAAACTACTGGTTTCCTGCATTTTAAATGGAAATTAATAACTGAAAACATGTGCACATCCCACTTAATTGTCCCTCCTAGCTTCCTAACATTAAACACGTCAATAAAGATAACACAACATATCTGGTATGAAGTTAACCTTCAGATACTCCTGTTCCAAACGTTTCTTTGGATGTCACTTTTGAGCCATGATTAAGTCCAGTGTGTTGGCCTGCAATAGACCAACTAGGGCTCATTTTTAGCTTAGCGGTTTTTTGGAAATGCCTTTTGGGTACTATTAAGTCATCGATTGCCTGCAGCCATTTTCGACGAGTTGAGTCAGCAGGATGATGGTTTAAATAAAATAATATAATTGTTTTTTGTACAGCTGTGACTCACAAGGACCTTCACGTTTACCTTCTACCAACCGACTGAAGCTACGTCCCTCTTCAAGGGCTGCCAACCACTTTACGACCAACAAAAGACCTTCCCATTACCTGTGAGAGTTAGACGGTGGTGCCAGTCAATTTTTCGACCAGAGGAACATGTGTTAGCCTATTTAAAGACAGGACAAGTCAAAGCTAGTCAGTGATCATGCTCGTTTCAGTAGATATCTACTCACATATATACATAGACGCAGGGCTCGACATTATAAATGGGAGCCTATTTTTCATCTGTAGTCCCTGGACAGGTTTTGTAAGTCAACCTAAGGACACATTTCATTTTAAAGTAAATACAATGAAATAAAAACATGCACCATACAGTACTGGAATACTTAAATAAAAAATGAAAAGACGGAACAATAAAACAAAACAAAAAAGAACATGCAGGGCTCGACATTATAAATGGCCCGCTGGCCCGGAAGCAC